TTTTTGGTACTGGGGTTTAAACCCAAGCCCTCTGCCCTAAGTTATATCCATAGCCCTTTAGTCTTTTTTTTTCTTTTTTAAATTTTGAGACAGGGTCCACTGGCTAAGTTGTCCTGGCTGGAGTTGAAATTGTGACTCTCCTACCTCAGCCTCACAGAGTGCTGGGATTACAAGTGGTTACCACCATGGCCAGATAATATGTCTTTTTCCAAAAGAAAATCCAGGGCAGTGTATATAGGTCAGTTGTAAAATGCTTGCTGGCCATTTGTAAGGCTTTGGATTCAATCCTGAACTCTGAAAAAAGTAATTAATTATTTAGTTTGATAAATTAATAGTTGATAAATTAATAAACTCTGTATAACCTGTAAAAAATCCTACAAATATGTACTTTTGTGTATTCTGCACTGCATATTGTATGGCAAAAACTTAAACTTTTGATTATTTGCATTAACAGGAGCATGACACCTCAGATGGCTCATCAATTTCAGGAACTCTTCCAAAGCATGCACCATCAAATTGAGAGCCATCCCCACCGCTATCCCCACTACTATGACCCCTCCCCGAGGGACCTTCTCTTCTTCCTCCAGCTGCTTTACCTGCACTAAGTGGTAAACATCACCGCTATCATCTTGCTTTGGGGAGCCTCTCCTCTGCCACCACCTTTGTTCGGGGACCTCCTTTTCAGGCACACAACCTGCTCTGTCATTTAGAAGGAAGCAGAAATAAATTAATAAATGTGAAGTCCATATGTTGGCTTTTTTTGAGGATGTTATCAATGGAACCCAGAGCCTTCCCACTGAGGTATAGCCCTGTTCCTTTTTGTTTTTTATTTTGAGACAGGGTCTCATTAAGTTGATAAGTTGCTCAGGTTGGGTTTGAAATTTGGATCCTCGTGCCTCACCCATCAAGAATGCTGTCCTTATAGGCATATGCCACCATGCCTACCTCTTACGTTGATTCTTCAACAGAATGAGTTCAATGGCAAAACTTTGGTTGTATTATCTACCGGCAATCAGTGGTCATAAAAGTATGAAAACTGTGTACATGTATAAGTATCGTTTAATATTAGAGAATATGACTACTCATTTAATTTTTCTTTGTTTGCTTGCTACTTCATGCTTCTCTTTTGGTACAATATTTCAATAATGGGAAAGTTCATTAAAATATGAAATTCATGTAAAAGGCAAATACAAATCAAGAAAGTGCTGTGAAGCCAGGCATGGTGGCACTCGCCTATAATCCCAGCACTTGGGAGGCTGAGGCAGGAGGATTGTCGTGAGTTCAAGGCCAGTCTGGGTTACATAGTGAGTTCAAATCCAGCCTGAACTATATAGTGAGAACCTGCCTCAAAAAACAAAGTGAAACAACAACAAAAAAAGAAAGTGCTGTGAGGATAATTGTATTAGTTTCTAGGGCTGCCATAAAAATTTCTACTAACTATGGGCTGGGGATTTAGCTCAGTGGTTTCGCCGCCTGCCTCGCAAGCACAAGGTCCCAAGTTTGAGCCCCGGTACCAAAAAAAAAAATTTTTTTTTTAAATTTAAAATTTCTACTAACTAGGTAGATCCAAACAACGAAAACTTATCTTTCAGCTAGGTATGATGATGTACTCTTGTAACCCCAGCACTCTGGGAGATGGAGGCAGGAGGATCGCAAGTTCCAACCCAACCTAGGGAACTTAGCAATTTAACAAAACCATGTCTCAAATGAAAAATGAAAAATAAAAAACATGGATGGGAATATAGCAGTGGTAAGGCCCTGGGTTTAATCACCAACAGTGAATATATATATATATATATATATATATATATATATCACAATTTTGGAGTCCTCATGTCATGTGTTGGCATAACCACAGTTTCTTTCTGGAGTTTCTAAAACAGAATCTGTCCCCTTTTTTGGTACTACCAGGGATTTAATGGGGGGGGGGGTGACTAACATAGAGCTACATCCCTAGCCATTTTTGTTTTTATTATTTTGAGACAAGGTATTGCTAAATTGCCCAGGTCGGACTTGAATTTGTTCTGTCTGCCTCAGCTTCCCTCAATGCTAGGAATATAGGTTGCATCATTATGCCTGGAGAATCTGTTCCTTTTCTCTTTCAGTTGGTATTCCTTCATTTGTGGTAGCATCTTTCTCTGTTCCATATTCTCATGGTCATCCCTTCTGTAAACTTCCCTACTTCTCTCTCTTATGAGGATACATGTAACTGCACTAAGAGTCTACCCAGATAATACAGGGCACATTCCTCCTCTGAAGATCTTTAACATATGGGGCTGTGGTATAGCTCAGTGGTCGAGTGCTCACCTAGTATGTACCAGGTCCTAGGTTCCATCCTATCTACTGCAAAAAAAAAAAAATCCTTAATATAATCACATCCTTTGCCTTTTAAGGTAGTATTCACAGGCTGTAAAGATTAAGATTATGGGCATATCTTTCTAGCATACAATATTCATTCCAGTATAATATTAGAGGAAATGCATTGTCAAACTGAAAGCAATTTTGATTTTTAAATATCATTAAGTACTATAACATTCTTTTTAAAAAGTTTATTTTAGGGCTGGGGATTTAGCTTAGTGGTTCCACCGCCTGCCTGGCATGTGCAAGGTCCTGAGTTCGATCCTCGGTACCAAAAAAATTAATTTTATGGGTACATTTTACATGTACACAATTATAACATCATCATATGGAATTTGTACCTGTACATGATATATCTTCATTTTTCTTTTCTCCCCTTGCTCTCCTCTCCCTTCAATCCCTCTTCCTATCCTTATTTACAAAAGCTTTGTTTCCATTTTTCCTTCTATTCTTTTTTTCTTTTCCCTTCCTTTCTTTCCCCCTTCTTAGTTCCCCTTCTCAGTTCCCCTTCTCATTTGAACATTTTCTATTTCACAATATTTATTATACATTTTGGTACTAATTTACACTCTTGGTTTCACACATCAGAGAAATCATGTGATATTTGAACACATGTGTCTGATTTATTTCACTTAAGAGTATGGTCTCAGGATGCATCCATTTACCTAGAAATGTCTCAAGTTAATCCGTCTTTATGGCAGAGTAGTCCTCCATTGTATTAAAAAAAAAAACCCACATCTTCTTTATCCATTCATTGGCTGATGGGCACTTGTGCTTATTTCCAAGATTTAGCTATTATAAATTCTGCTACTGTAAACATGGATGTGCATATATTGCTGATGCTTTTACTTCTTTGGGGAAGGTACTGAGAATGAGAATAGCTGGGTCCAATGGAAATTCTAGTTTTAGTTTTTTGAGGCATCTGTATACTGATTTCAACCACTCCCACCAACAGTAGAGAAGAGTTCCTTTTTCCCTACAGCACTGCCAGCATTTGTTACTGGTTGGTTTATTGATGATAGCCATTCTTTCTGGAATGAGATGGAATCTCAGTGTTGTTTTAATTGGCATCTCCCAAATTACCGGTGATGTTGAACTTTTTTCATGTTTATTAGCCTTTCTACTTCATCTGAAAAGTGTGTATTCATTTCAGATGCCCATTTTTGGATTGGGTCTTTAAATTTGGGGGGGGGTCTAATTTTTTTGAGTTCTTTATATATTCTAGATATTAGCCCTGTGGCTGAGGAAGAGCTGGCAATTTTTTTCACAATGTAGGTTCTCTCTTCACTCTGTTGGTGGTTTCTTTTGGTATGCAAAGCTGTATAATAAGATGAGATTCCAGTGGTTGATTCTTTGTGACATTTCCTGTGCAATAGAGGTTTTGCTCACAAAGTCTTTCCCTACAGCTATGTCTTCAAGAGTTCTATCTATTTTATCTTCCACAGATTTAGTGTTTCCATTTTTATTTTGATTTTACTTTAGTGCATGGTGAGAGATGTGGGTCTAGTTTAGTCTTTGGCATGTGGACATTGTTTCTAGCACCATTTATTTTACTTTTTTTTCTTTTTTTAAAAATTATTTTCCCCATTAAGTTTATTGGTACATTTTAAGTATAAAATACAGTTACATTCATCATTGGGATACTTTTTTTTTTAAGTTGTTTTATTGGTACATTTTAGATTCGTTTACATTTATCATTGGGTGTTTGTACCTGTACATGATATATCTTCGTTCTTATTTTTTTCCCCATTACCTGTGTGCCCCTCACCCCCTCCACCCTTCCCTATTTACATAGGCATCATTTCCATTTTTTTTTCTTTTCTCAGAGTTTTTCCTTTCCCTCCTTTCCTTTCCCCTTCCCATCCCTTCATCCCTTCATCTTTGGAGTTTTTTCCTATTTCAGATTATCAATTATTCATTTTAATCATTTTAACACTTGTTTACACTATCAGTTTCTCACACTAGTGAAACTATTCAGTATTTACACCTGTTGTCCTATTTATTTCACTTTGTTGTTTAAATCTTAATAAAATTATTTCACTTAGATTATTTTCTCCCCACAAATTAAAGCAAGGTTTGTCATTATGATTATTCATGGTTACTTAATGGCAACAAAGGTAGGCAAAATTAAGAACTTGCAATGTTTTTGTCTTTGGACCTTTTTTCCTATTTAAAATTATCAATTATTCATTTTAATAATTTTAACTCTTGTTTACACTACCAGTTTCTCACACTAGTGAAACTATTCAGTATTTACACATGTGTGTCTTATTTATTTCACTTAAGAGTATGGCCTCGATATGCATCCATTTAGCTATAAATG